GTAAAAATTCCTGTTAGGTATATATAACATGCCGTAAAAATTGTAATACCTCATAAAATGCTTATTCCATGCACAGTTTAAATAAGTGTATTATACTCAAGATAAAAAAGTTTACTTCAAAGCTTTATCTTAAATAGAAAAAAATCCTTAGGGATTTAATTAAGATTAAGACACAAAATTATCATCTATGCGAAAAAGCACTTTAAAGTCAGACTGCTGGGCAAGTTTCTGTATTAGAACAATTTAAAATCATTCATAACTTTTTTAAAAATGTAGATAGAGAGATGAATTTTTTTCTGTACATTTGAAATACTTTGAAGTTTTATTATAAGTAATAAAAAAAAATTTGGTATTTTTGTCATTTTTTAGGTACTGTGACCCCTTAATAATAAATAACAAAATAACTAAAACACATTTTCACTCCAAACTCCCCAGAATTACATAATAACATTAATATCTTATGAAAGACGGCAGATTTGAGCTCAGAAATTATCTAATTTATTTCTTTTATTGAAAACAAAATTATCCGTTTGAAAACATCGCCTATCAGAATAACATGTAGTAAGCAGCTGCAAACTTTTTAACCGGAACTAGAGTAGGTCCCGAGCTCGAGATTGTTATTGTTTGCATTTCTATTGAAAACACCATCCATAGTGTCTCTATTTAGAAATTTTACTGCTTTTTTTTAAAGTTTTTTTTCATTGATTTATTTTTGTTTTTGATATTGATGTTTTGTTCAACTCAACTTTTAGACATGCAAAACCAGCAAAAGAGAATTTACTACATTACCTCCGAAGTAATCTCCAGGTTTCAGTAGCGCCAATTGCGCCTCACCGCCTTTGACTTCTTTATTTATGGTAATGGCTCCTTTTTCAACGAAATACATGCCATCTCCTCTATCCCCTTCCTTAAATAACACTTCACCTTTCCTCAGGTAAACTGAAATCAATGCATCACAAACTTGCATTTTTTCATAATCTATAAGCGGTTGCAATTCTGGCACTTTATCGAGAAGCTCCATATACCTCTTTCGCTTTTCGTAAGCAGTTTTGACGACAAGTTTCGTAAAAGTAGCTCTACTGACCGCCCACAACATGCCATCTGTTACAGCTTTTATGGTAGCCGCTCTCGGCTGGTTATGAAGCAACGCCAACTCGCCAAAACTCCCGCTGTCTTTGTACTTCATGACCACTTCCTGCCGACCCTCTTCTTCAATGATGGCATCGAACTCGCCTTTATCAATGACATAGAAAAAATCGGCATCGTCATTCTGTTTAATGATAATTTGTCCACTCTTCACCTCAGACGGTATCATGGCATCAATAATGGCGTCCAGGTTCTCTTTGGTCAGGTGTTTAAAAAGAAACACGTCTTCGATGAGATTTTTGATCCTTTCCTTCTGCTCTTTAGATTTAGGATAGATTTTGACTTCGGAGTCGCATTCTTCTGGGTTTACAACTTCGCCGATAACGGCCGTGCGTCGCCTACCTCTTCTGCCGAGCATTTTGCTGATACCTTGGTCCGATCTCTCACGCTTGAGTCGAGAGAAATACGATGCTGCGTAATCGATGATGTCATCAGGCTGTTCCTCCAAAACGCTTGTGGTAAAATGAAGCAGCATATTTTCCAACTCTTCGGGAACATGAATTTCGTTCTTATCATCTGCCATATCTAAACAATTTCAGTGGGATCCTGGGAAAGATAGTCTTAGTTCGGTTTACAAAATATTTGGCGGAAGCATCGATTGCCTCTTTTCATGCTTAAGTGGAGTTGAGTTGTTGAGGCTTCTATTGAAAACTGAATTTCAGTTATGAGCACTCTGAAAGAAATAAGAATAATAAAACAGCACAGCTGTTGCAAGAATACCTTACTTGTATTCTAATCAATAAATAATGAACCATTTTATAAAAAAAAACATTAAAAAAAAAGAAATCAATTGATTCGCATTTAAGATGAGCTAGTAATTGTTCACTACCACAAGAACCAAATAAATCAGTAATCCCTTAATCTCGTCAAATGCCGGATAGAAATAAAATAGAGAGAAAGAGAATCCTGCTTTAAAATAAAAAACATAGTTTCAATACTTAAAAAAAATAAAAGAAAAAGAAGAATGAAAAGAAAGAAAAAAAATGAATAAAAAAGCAATTATATATAAAGAGTTTACTGAACTCTTTAAAATACTTTAAAATATATTTGTATTTTGAATTTAAAAAATGAACAATAATAAAGTAGATACGGATCTAGTAAACATGACTTTAAGGTTCATTTAAAAGCTAATTTAATTTCACGCTAATTTAAAAGACACGTATATAATTTCTATCAGCGTCAAGTTCTTAATGTTTTCTTTCATAATGACTAGAGGGCTCCGCTTCTCGCTCACTAGTCCCCGAACTTTCTGACGCAGTTATTTCAGAGCGGTACGTAGATACTTTATTTACGTCGCACTAGAGCTGCACATTGGGCTATTGACCTGCACGGGAAGTCGAGCACTTTATGGTAGAACAGTTTAACGAGGACCGATACCACGCACTCTCCGACCCTAAGTAGGCTGAACAAAGTAGTCAATCACCCGCTTACTGACTGCAGCCAGTGATGCGTGACTTCGGTGGTCTACTGGGAACCATGTATTTTACATTGCGGGATGTTATCTCCCAGCTAGCTTTTCTTGCTAATTTTATTTGATTCCTCTATGTTTGCGTCTTGATAGATTTTTACATTTTATAATTAAATTAAAGGCGACGCCCTCTGCTATTTGTTACTCTCCAATTTTCAGAGCTTCAAGTTTTAATTACTCCAAATAAATTAGAAATTTAAAGAAAGTTTATTTTCTTTAAATCTAACCGTTGATCGTAATTTAATTTGTGTTTTTTTAATTAAAATAAGGGAAAATGAATTTTCGTAAATGTACGGAATGGCAAAGCAAAATTTGCTGAATAGTGAAAAAAAAACTTTTTATTTTTGTCATAGTGACCTCCCATTTTGACACCCCTCTTTATAATTGATTCTTGGGGGTCGTTACGCAAATAAATAAATAAATAAAATTAAGAAAATAAAAATGATAACAACCCTTGATTAAGTGTGTTTCAAACAATATTTAAACTAAAAATTTTATTTCATAACCGTCATTGAACAGCCAACCCAATTTTGTGTTTACGTCTACCAATGTTTAATTCCGTAGCCTTGTAATTTTGAACATGATTCAGAAGACAAGGGAACTCCTGGATCAAGTATTGGAAGAAATTTGCCGTCGTGGAGGACTTTTTGATGGAACTAACTTGCATTTACGTTACACAGAGAGGAAATCCCCCTACATCTCTGATACATAAGGAGTGGTAGAAAGAAGGAGATTAGTTTATTATGCGATACGTTATGCGATTCATTTCAGTTTATTATGCAATGTATTTCAGTTTATTCTGCGATACTTTAAGGTTATATGTTTTTGTTTTTAGTGTTGCTTTCAAAGAAACAGATACGTGTATACGTATGCAGGGATGCCAATTTTCGATGCTTTTCTGTTAAATTTCTTCTAGTGGTAGTTAATTTATCTCTTTCTTCATTTTGTAAATGTGATTTAAAGCTATTTTCCCCACCACAGCAAGAAAATTATTCAAAGCTCATTATTTCATTCTACTTTGTTCCAGCTTTCTAGCATTGAGGCTTTTAAAATATTGCCGAAATTACCACAAACTACGAAAGCTTTAAATTTTAATTGTATTTTATTTTATGAGATACTAGCTGTACCCTGCGTGCGTTGCAACGCTTTCAATTTGAATTTGAATTTTGTATTTAAGTGTGTAAATGACATTTGCGATTATGATTTGAAATGCAAATTTTATTTAATGGTGAAAAAAAACCAGTGATAGTCTCAGCAGTTAATTCTCCAGGATATCATTAGTGCATTTTCAAACAGACATTTATGGTGATGCACACGGAGCATGAAACATATTTTGGACAATGATCTGAAATAAGACTGGATCTATGGTGATATCAAGAATTTCTGCTGATATCTGATCAGTTTGGCAAGGTGGTTTTTTTTTTCAATAAGCCAAATTAGAATGTGTGCCTGAGGCAATCCTCGTTTTNAATGTCTTAATATTTAAAAAAAATTAATTTTAGCGTAACTTGTCCACTATTACTTATAAAAGTGCAGGCCATATGGCTAGATTCTTAAGTTCTAATAAAAGTTTTATGAGAGATCCATTTGCTTTATAAATTTCTACTTTGGTTCGCTACCACTAGAAAGAATTATTTTTAAAATCCTCATAAGTTGGAGGGTATGATATAGTATATATAACCCACCTCTAACATACATTAAAACTACACCACTGCTTGCAACAAAAAAATTTTTCACCCTGGAAAAAGTAGAACTAAATTTTCTCAAGACTAAATTGAAAGGTTCAGAAAACTTCGATTACAGCTTCATAAAATCAAATTTGAAGTTTTTACACAATAAAATTAAAATAATAATAAATAAATGAATAAAAATGAATAAATAAAATAATAACAATGATATTTTGAATCTAAATGTTGTCCCAGATAAGGAATTAGATTATAAATTATCACAGTGCCGGGACTGCCACGAGTGACTAAAATTGGAAAAAGTGGTAGAAACTCAATTCATTTTTCTTCACTTATAATCTCTTGTCTATCAATTGTATCAATCACTATCACTTACATTTTACATTATTCATATACGTAAAACAAAATCATCCGTTGTAATTATATCCGCTTAGTGTAACGAAATTCATACGCAATTGGAAAAAAAAAACAAATTTAAAAAGTGGTAGTAGTATTAATATAAATTTTATTTTATTATTATGTTTGTAGCGACCAGAATGCTTTTTTTTTTTAAGTAAATTTATATCGATCCGAAGAAAGTATGAAATTTTTAATGTATTTTATCAGTTATTTTAGTTTATTTTTATCAGTTTATTTAGTTATTTTAATGTATAATTTGTAGTATGTTCTGCTTCTTCATAACAAAATTGATACCAGTTATTAAATTTTTCCAGGTGCCTGCGAACACTGTGTAATTTTTATTATCTTATCATGTTTAATATTATCATCTTATTGTTAATTTATTTACGTAATCTTCTCCCCCCCCCTTCCCTTATTCTCATTGAATATCTATGAAAGAGCAGATAAGCCCGCGGGCTAGATACTCCACACCCTAAATTTAAATCGGTTTATATTGCATTCACTATCAATTGTAAATTGAAAAAATATACTATAAAATTTGCTAGTTTATTAGTTTTAACAAAATTTCGAATTTTATGTATTCATGTATTTTCAGTTGACCGTGGCAACTCTGCAGTACATGAAACTATTAAAATCGCCTAGTCTACCATTTTTAAAATTAAAATTCTTTTATTACATTTTAAAAACTACTTAATCCACTGAGTCATACAAGATCTTTAACTCTTAATAAAAAATTTACTAACCATAAACTTTGGGTTAGTAAGTGCTATGAACAACGCATAATGATGAATCGAATACACGTAAAAAAAAAATGACGGGGGAAGTTTTAATCATTAACGTCTGAATTTCAAAAGTTTTAAAGGTTGAAAAAATCGACGTACTTTGAGCAAAAGTAAGAGCTAGCAAATATTACCAATAAATGAAATGGTTTTGCTATCCTTTTTTAAAATATTTAAGTTATTCGTCTGTTATAAGGCTCAGATAATTCTTCACGCCAAGATTATACATATAGTTTAAAATTATCGCATTGCTTCAAATGTAAAGCACTTAAACTATGGCTCTTTTATTTTCCTTGAACTTCGAAAAAAATCCATATAAAAACTTTTCATACTTGTTATTGCTCTTACATCCCCAAATATAACATTATAACGCCATTATATCCTCTCATAGCAAAAATAGAACTTTTAAATTGAACTACCCTAGTCTAATAGTAGCTAGTTCGGGATATAAGCATATTTACTTTACATATGGCTATCCTGTGTGTGGGATAGCCAAAAGATTTCTGGATAGGTGTCTTTTCAACAGTAAGCAAAATTCATTTACCAAAACACAATTCGATGCTGACCGAATAAAGGTTATACGTGGCATTTTTTAAGAAAGAAAAAAGAGATTTAACAGGGAAAGTTCTTCATTAACTGTACTTTTATAGTAGTTTAGTTCCATAATGAAATTTAACAGTATGTTGGATGTAGTTTCTTTGTAGAATTAAAGTACAATTTTTGGCAGTGTGAGATATATCTGAATTTTGTTAGAAAGGAGGGATATTTATCCTAGAAAAATAAATAACATAGTTTTGGAAATATTGACTTATTATGTAAATTTCATTAAAATGAACATGGCCACATTCCAAAATTATAAAGTAATGAAAAGAAAGTCTCTCAAGAGAATCATTGAGAATTTCTGTAAGGATATGAATTCAGCGGTTGGGACTGAAAGGTCCCCCAGTCTGATCACCAATAATTCGAAATTAAAAGTAAGAAAATTGTTCCCAACTGACAGTTAGGAGCATGGGAAGAGATCCACGATTGGCGATTTATCGAAAGATAACATAGTCAAAAATAAAGCCAATCCCCCATAATCAATATTAAATTTGAAAATAATTTGGCGGCGAAAGCCAATAGTCAAAAAGATTGTGAGAATTAGTATAACCATGTAACTGAGACATTTTTGCGATAAGAAATAACGAATTGTAAATAGATTTTGTTTTCAATTGAGTCGCGACAGTGAATGAATGAGTTTCACATTTGTATTGAACTCGAAAGTTAGCCGTGGCATTGATTATTAAGAAAAGAATAAAATATTTTCATTAACTTTTCATAAAATATAACAAAAATGAAATAGAAAATTAATTTAATTAAAATTCGATCATGAATGATTAAAAAAATAAATATAAGACATTGAAGAAATATTAAAAGCTAGGAAATATGTAATGCTTATTGTGGTATCCTATACATTTATATATTTTGATAAGTCTTTTCATTTCGAATATCTCAGGGGATAATGAATCCAAGTGACAGTCTCTGAGTGTTTTTAGAGTAAAAGAACGATTCAAGTTCATCTAGCAAAGTGAATAACATTAGAATACCAGTCTTTTGACAGCAAATTAGACTCCACGATAGCGAATGTCCCAACTGGAATAAAACGATTTAGAAATAAAGGCAACTGGCATACTACTTAATCTCCGCTGTCTATGTATAAACTTAGCTAATTTTCTCAAATCTACTAAAGTGCCGCTGAGGTCATTTATCCACCTTATGATACCAGAAAAAATCTTATTGTCACAAGAATAATTTTAAAAATAATTAAATAAATAAAAATTTGAAACTTACTATAAAGTGGTTGGAAATTCAGGAAAATGTTCTGTTTTTGACGTTAATGTAAAGATTTATCGAAACATTATAGCATTAATTCATGGGGGGAAAAAAGAGGTGTTTTTCGTATAAGACAATTTCAATTCGGATAGAAAACTTTCAAAGAATAATTTATCGATATTGAAAATTTTTACTTTATCTTATTGTAACTTATCATTATCATTGTTCATGATATGATTCTTAATCAAAAGATATGAGTATCACGATGATTTCACTTTCAAATCAGAAACTTTTTTAACCAGTTAATTGTGTTTGATGGGTAAAAAACTCAGTTGCGGTGCGTATGACGTGTATACTCACCGTGTAAAATAAAAGAAAATTATGATTAGTAAAAAAAAATCCAAATTTCAATAAAATGCAATAAAAATGTTACTTGGTGGTATGTTTTCATTCTATTACCGGTGAAATTGTTACGTATTTTATATTGCTGAGGGATGCTGGTGACGCGAACCTAAATATCATCTGGAATAACTTTTGTTTTAATGATCAGATTTTTACGTATCTTGATGCCTAAGTATCGGATCTTCACGTTTTAGAACTCAATCTTAATTTTAAATACCGTCTACCCATTTTTTCAGTTTGCCAACTTTCAAATGGTCAAACTTTTGTAAATATTAAAGAAAAAGAGCTTTTAATAGGTGTTTCGGAATCGCTATTTATCCCTCTTTAGAACTGTGAAATCGATTTTAGAAAATATTAACAGTTACGCTGTTACTGTATATTTTTATAGAACTGCTGACAAATCTCTCGTATGGGGCGAGTCTACCCATTCTACTAAAATGAATGTTAACATTGTAAATAATCANTTAGTTTCTCTCTTGATTTTCACATAGATTAAAATTTTTTAACTTAAAAAACTATATGGAACTGAAAACTGCATTAAACATAGTTCTAAAGAAAAGTATCATAGAAATTTAAAAAAATATTTTTATTAAGTAAAAGGGAAAAATATTAAGAAAACGGAAATTATCGTAGTACATTCCTATACAACTGAAAGGAGGAGGAGAGGGAAGGGAGAAGGGCTAAAGGCATGAAACCGGTCTCTCCCCAGATGGCGTATTCGAGTGTTGCGATCGCGAATTTTGCCATGTAAAATTACATTCTTCAAAATGATACAAAAAATTTCATACCTTACAATTCAAAATATCTTCGACCCTTATTAAATAAAATAATAAAAAATATTTTTATGAGTTATTTTTTGCATGGATTTATCTTTGGAAGAACAAATTTTATAATTGTGTATAAAAAATTTTCCAATGCGGTTCAAAATTTCTTAAGATATAGCGAAAAATAAAATTAACTTTAAGAGGTCTAAACTTTGGAGTGCTCTCCTGACCAAACTATGGGGACCCTATTTCCCAGATTGCGGCTATATTTTGGAGGTTAGAAGTCCAAATCCGTCGAAAAAAAGGTATGTTTATTCAGAGAAAGTACGCCTTTGTATCTGATTTCTTGACTTAAAATATCGTTTGCTCAAATTAATCAGCATATTTGAGGTCTCCCCCTCAAACCATTAAAATTGAGTCCTAGAGCGTGAAGATCTGATCGTTTAAATCAAAAGTCACTCAGAATGGTCCGTTTTTTTTTAATTAACTCGAATAAAGAAAATAAACCCTTTTACATCAGATTATTGATCATAAAATTAATAGGGTAGCCGCAACCTAATAGGGTCCCAATAGTTAAGTCAAACAGCGATCAAAAAAGAGTCTCTTCATGTTAATTTCACTTTTTTTGCCTAGTTTTTTGTTAATAATGATGGAAAATATTTATTAAGTTAAGATATGCGCTTTTTTCTGAAATTCGTACTCTCTCTCTCTCTCTTTACGTGACTCATTTTGTAATTTAAAATTACAGAAGTTAAAAATGCTGTAAATTTATATGGATGGTGTTTTCAATATAAATGTAAACAATAACAATCTCGAGCTCATACCTGCTCTAGTTCTGGTTAAAAAGTCTGCAACTGCTTACTACATGTTATTCTGCAAGGCGATATTTTCAAACACATAATTTTGTTTTCATCAAAATAAGTAAATTTGATGATATCTAAGCTCAAATCTGCCGTATTTCATAAGATATTAATGTTATTAAGTAATTCTGGTGAGTTTAAAGGGAAAATTTGTTTTAGTTATTTACAGATATATTGTTAAAAAAGGTGGCATGGTTGCTAGATTTTGAATAACTCGCTGTTTGGTAGTCCTGATTTGGCCTCTTTCCATTTGTTTATTACTGTTTGTTCTTGTTGCAAGCTGTGCACCATCTTACGTTAGTGTTAACACTTTTAGCATTGTAAACACAAGTAATAAGTAATCAAATACGTCGTTTGCAAGAATCTCAAAACACAATGATGCCAAATGGCTTTAAAATACAACGGGAACAGTAACCGGGAAATTTAGGCGGTATCGAGCTTGCAGCGTTCACTATAGTGTAGAAAACACCATCCATACAGTTTACAGCTCTAAATGTTCCGCCCGAGCATTATTAAATAAACTAAAAAATTATTATCAGCGTAAAAAATGTTTTTTAATTTGCTTAAGAGGTTTCATGGCGAAATACACAAAAAAAGAAATTAACATTATATGGGCGCCAAATTTTCCCCATCTATCTTGATTAAACTACTATTATATTTTCCCTTTTCGTATTTAATTGTTAAAAATATTTTTTAAAATCTCCAAGGCGCTTTCTTTTAGAATTATGTTTAATGTAGTTTTTTCAGTTCCCTAACTTAAATGATTTTTATCTATTTAAAAATCAAGACTGAAACTAACGTACTTCCTTCTCCTATGTCTCTCCACACGCTAATGGTGAAAGCATGCGAAGTGTGTCATAGGTAGAGAGTTCTATAGAACTTTTAAATTGAAC